ACTTTATACTTCTTGTCCTTTTTAAAAATGTAAGGAGTAAAAAGTAGGCTGAAAAATAATTACTCAAGTAAAGTACAGATACACAAAAAGTATATTTGCAGAGTTGTAAAGAAACTAAGCACCAGCTGCTAGCTTAATCAATAAAAATAAAAGGACTGTACTTAAGAAGTATTTGTATTTCATGAATTATATTCTTACATTTGGCCGCAGCCCTCAGATAGATTTTCATTTTGGGGAAAAGCTTTGTGCAGCCATGATATATGTATATAAACTGAAACAGCTGGACTAGTGCATCCTAAATTTAACATCCATTCATTCTTTTAATAAGATATAGTAATTTCTGCTTTTTTTAATTAATTTTTTTGGAAGGAGGTCACCTCCTGATAAATGTCCTTACAGAAAATCTAACTGCTCATTTTAAATCAATACTTTTACTTTTAATACTTCAGTACAAAAAATATCAGATACTTTAAGACTTTTCCTCAAGTAATATTCCTAAAGGAGACTTTAACTTTTACCAAAGGAATTTTTTGGTAAGATACTTGTACTCTTACTCAAGTATCACTTTGTGGTACTTTATACAACACTGCAGGTGTTTTCTGTAAGATTCCTATGAAAGTCCTGAAAAAGACCTCAGAGGCGCTGGCTTCAATGTTGTGAGCACCCACCTGCTGGATTCCCAGACACAGGTAGAGGATACTGTCTGGAGAGTAGCGCTCCCCGTTGGGTCTGCAGACCTCCTTCACAAAGCGAGACAGAGCCACGCTCAGCTCGTCTGAACTCAGTGACAGCAGGTTACTTTTCCACCGCGCTGAAACAGARGCTCAGGTTAGAAACATCTCCATCCTGCTGCTGAGAATGTTCTGACAGGTAAGTGGGGCTGAGCTTACTTGGTTTGGAGCTGTCCTTTACTTTGGTGTCTTCTGATTGGTCAGAGACAGACAGAGCCCAGCGCTTCCAGGCGTTGACGCCGTAACGAGCTCTGAGAGGCAGCGAACGTTTCTCTGGGGAGTTGTTACCTGGATGTGAGGAGGTGAACAAATCCTCCACTGCCTGTCGTTTATTTCCCTGTAAAACAAGGAGGCATAATTATCACGCTGAGATCAAGTGGAGCTGATGGGTCAAACATTACCTTTGTTTGTGTGTCTGTGAGTACATACAAGTCTCCTGGGCTGTGGTCGAGGAGTCGACTCCTCCTGCTCCTCCTTCTCTTCTGTCAGAACCGGAGGCAGAGAAAAGCCCAAATCTTCCTCCATCCCCTCCAGCACTGGAACGGGCTCTGAGGCTGAGATTTTACACAACTTTTTAAAAACGTCTTCATACAAACAAAAAGGTGCTGCTTTCAACTACTTTTTAAAGTATTTTCTTTACTTTCAGAAAAATCAAACTTGGTAAAATCGCAGGTGTTGGAAAACTTGTTTCTGGTTCACAAACACATTGGCTCATTAGTTGCCTGTAGTATGATCTACTGAAACATATCTGTCATGGTTATGAAGAAATTTATAGTTATTACAGATTAGTACTGATGGTAGAAGCACAACACTAGATTATTAGGGTTTCCTTTTTATAATGTTTGATCTATTATGTGTTAATTGATATAGAGTAGTTACATGTCCGAATTATAAACAACACATTAGTGAAACGTTATTATAACATTAGGTTGAGATTTTTGTATGAATGCCTGTGATTCAGCCGTAGGTCAGTAGGGGGCGATCGCAGGCATTGAAGACTCTGTATAAATGGATCAACTTCCTGGTTGGCCGGCAGTGTGTGGTTTCCTGTCAGCTCCGAATGGCAATAAATCCTCACTCCAGAATTCTGGTTTTGTATGGTTTTATTTCGTCTAACAATCATATTATTTAACATTGGTGGTTTTCTATTGACTTCAGTCTTTGAACAGGAATATTTCTTACAGTTACAAAAAGAAATCATTTCTGGTAAACTCTAATAATTTACTAAAGTTGAGACAGAGCTTTATGATGCCATTAATTCATCTTGGCATCATTTTTTAAAGTGACAAATACAGCTGTTTTCTTAGCAGACTCTGGAAATGACTTCTTACATCTCTGGACACACTGTGGGACCTTAAAGGAACTGTCACAATTTTACAGCAGTACTCTGTGGAGTCATTCGTAATCAACCAATATGGAATCAACAGAATCAGACAGAAGTTTTCTCTAAAACTAGTGAAAGCGGGTCAAGACCAAAGCAGATTTCTGTTGTCTAAAGCAGCTCTACTCATGTGAACAGTAGCTGTGCTTCCATTGACCATGAAAATGCGCTAATTAGAACTTAGAAAATAAATTTTATCAATGGAAACACATCAATTTTAAAGAAAATTACGTTTTTCGACAAAATGTTTTTGCGCTAGGATGAGGTGGTTTTTCGGCCGTATCTAAATTTTTCGCAAAACTGCAATGGAAACACTTATTTCGCATCACGGGAGTTATGTGATCAACAACCGGCTGTTTCTACTGGCGAAAAAGACGACGAAGAAGAAGATAACAGGAAGTAGAAGTAGTAGTAATATCACAGAAGTAGTATAAAATAGTAAACTCACCGACTACAATTTCCCAAAAACACAGCATACGTAGCCGCTCTCAAGTAGGGGCTTGTTGCTGGAAAGCCTCGATAAAAGACGCCGACGTCTCCTCTGATGATGAGCGCTAGTGTCGTGGTAGCAACATGCTATGTGTTTACATCCATCGCTGCCATGTTTGTAATGACTTATCATGAGAACTAACGTATTCACGCGAGACTTTAATAACATTTCTTACTTAATGGAAACACTGCAGTTGTGAAACTCTGTTTTTCGACATTAACAGAACATCGACAAAGGTTTGCGCACATTTGCATTGGAAACGCAGCTAGTGACTCATAAATCTTTAAACCAATGTTACTTTATGCATTAGATGGTTGTTTATACTGAAAATCAAGCTGTCTGCAGTCAGTTACCAGGAAGAATCTGTCAAAATTATGCTGCAAAACCAGGCAGAGGAAAGTAATTCACTGTAAATAAGTGTTGGAATTAAAGCAAATGCTTTTCTCTTATTTTTTTTATTTTTATTTTTTACACCTAATTACTTTTCATCAGGTAGTTACTTTGCCTGTTTTTATTTAACGTTTCACATAAATGATTACTGGTAACAGACTGCTGACCAACTCAGTCTTTGACAGGCGTTCATTAAGTAGTTTATAAAATAGATTTGCATAAATGGCTGTTAATTTTTTTATTTTAAAATGGTGGCAATGTGTTTTTAAACTGTCCCTCTTTTGAACCATTCCTGAGTTTATCTTAAAGCTGAAACCTCTAAGATATTGATTACCAATAACACAACTTCACTTAAAAGACCATAAACCTTTACAACATTTGCCCAGATAATTTGGGGCAAAAAGTCAGATGGACCTTTTTTTTCTCAATTACTTGACTGATTCATTTAGGAACAAAAACAAATGCAGATGTTATTACATATGAGTGAGCAGAAGAAGACCATCAGAGACTTTAGGCGTCACAATGAACCCTGGAGACAAAATAATTTAATTTTACAACTATTTGCTCATAACTTTGACAATTAAATTTGGACAAACTCAAATAAATAAACCAATTGCCTAAAGTTTCATTTTACTGTCAGCGGACAAATATGTGACTCAACAGGAGAGACTGAAGAACAAAAATGGTTTTAATCCACAGCTTTAACTGATTTAATACATCCTGATATGGTCTGTTTTATCAGCTGACAGCTAAATTCACTTTGAAAACCAGAGTCTCTATAAAGTCTTCATTTAGTTCTGTAGCACGGTCAGGTCCAGACCTGCAGGTTTTTACCTTGAGGGAAGTCTGCCTCCAGGTCCAGGTTAGAGTCATACTTCTCCTCTTCCTCCTCCTCCTCAGAGCTGCTGCAGGAGGCCTCCTCTCCTCCACGCTCCTCTTTCACTTTCATCAGCTTCACATCTAGAAAGGGTCACAGTTTTTACAGAGTTATTCAGTTTTATTACTTTAAAGCGTCCTCGCTTGACCTTTAACTGAAACTAAACAGAATTTTATTCATTCATTCAATCTGAAGCCTCTGATTCCTCACCTGGCTTCTGGTCATTCGTGCTGCTCTCATCCACGGAGCGACCGGCCTCTGTGGGATCAGTGGACGCCTCGTTTTTTATGTCTTTGATGGTCTGAATGATCTGTTCTGCCCCCTGAAGGGTGGTGGGCAGAAACACAGGAACAGGAACCTGGAAGTGATGAGACCAACTGCGTTTAAACTTTCAAACTACTTACATTAAATAAGTGCTTCCCTCCTGACTTGGGAATGATTATATTTCCTAAATTCTCAAAGCTAATTTCAACATGAAGTGTGGTGTGATAGAAGCAGAATAAATCTTACAGGTACAGGCAGAGACACTGGAGTGGGGGTGACCTGGGTGTACATATTCATAGGCATGGGGATGAACACAGGAACAGGTATAGGGACTGGAACATACTCCCTCTTAACACCATCGTCTACATCTGTGGATGGAGGAAAGCAAACATATGATCCTTTGACACCATATTTTTGTTCACACTAAGCTCTGATTGCAGCTCCGCTTATACAGAAAATAATCAGCTTAAAATATGAAAACAAAAGTGTTTTAAACTTATTAAGCTGCTTTTACCTGTCTGTAGAAGTTTGCTCTGCATGTGAGGTTTGCAGTAGGTGGCTTTGGTCAGTGTAAGTGGCTTGCAGAGAACTGCCTTGTTCTTTACATCTCTGATCAACCCTCCACCAGTGTAAGCAGCTGAAGTCTGGTTCATCAGCTGAAAGACAAACAGGAACAGTATGGGCTTGCACTTCCAGGATGAGGTTTAAGTGTGGACAAAGCTGTAAAGAAAACGTGTAACTGTTGTACACTTTAAAGTTACTCCAATATTTTGACGGTAAATGAGCAGTGGGAATTTTCACTAAGATATTTGAGTATTGTAAAGGATTTTTACTTACTCCAAGTTTGGCTCCTTGCGCCTCTAACCCTAAAAAAGAAAAAGGAAAAGAAAAAAAAAACAGTGAAAATGAGAAACAAAAACTGTTTCATATAAAAGGAAATTGATTCTGTTTACTACTGATTTTTAAATGTGTCACATTTACTGTTTTATTCCTAGGAGAATTATTACCAGAAAACCTGTCACCCATCAAATTCATCCATCAGTTGAAGTTATTAAAATTCTATGATTTGGTTGGTTATAGTATTTTGTCAGTTATGTATAGGGCCCATAAAAATACATTATCTTCAAACATCCAATTATAGTTTGTTAAAAGAGTGAGTTGTTAAAATTTGAAGGGGATATAAATGTTAGTCAAATATAAAATTAGAACATTGAAGGAACGGAGTACATCAGTTCAGGGAATTAAATTATGGAATAATCTGGAGGATAACGTTAAAAAAGCCAGATCAATGTGTATATTTAAGAAAAGGATAAAGGTAAATCGGTGTTGTGAACTTTAACTCATTCACAACACAATTATTTCTCATCACAAAGCAGAATTGTTTTCTACAGATTTCTGGTCACATGGTAGGGAGAACCTCCAGTCGACGTGACAGCTTGCCTCTAGCGAGTGGCCAGAACTGGAAGGAAGTGTTTATAAGAAGCTGGAACTTCCTGCATGGGGGTGAATATTAAATGGTTGAGGCTTAGCCTAGCTGCAGGGTATTTGTATGTCTTTGYTTCTTACATTCAAGTCTTAATTCTGTATTTGCCTTGTCCTTTAAACGCTATTTTTTCACATACTTTAGGTGTTTTCAGACCACAGGGGGCAACGCCCTCTTTTTATTTAAAGGTACAGTGTGTAGGATTTGTTGTTTTCAGCGACATCTAGTGGTTGAGTGGTTCAATCATCCTCCCTGGTCCTCCCCCCACCCCCACCCCCCGCTTCCAAACGCAAAGGAGTTGCTACGATGTCTCTCAGG